AGTAAGAAATTTGGGGGAGGGTCGCATCCCCCAGAAAGTTTCCGCAGCGGCAACAGGTGCCCTGCTTAAAATGAGGTGAGATACACCACAGGAGAAGAAAATCAGAAATCAGAATAGCATTTTAAAGGCAGTTGGCACGATAAATCCCCAAGACGACTAGGATCAATACTCCTGGCAGGATAGAATTCCGCGACCCTGGGCAGGCGCTGCATAGCGGTTTCCCCGAGGAAGGTGCCCTTATAAGGGCCCTATCAAGCCACAACTTTACGTCCCAAACGCCCGCCCGCCCCCGCCCACAAATGGACGACCGTTCCTGACGCTCGTATTCATTCATTTGCTAAGCAAATTATGAAGCGAAGGGATTGGTATGAAGCGGCCGTGATGCTGCATGCATACATGGGTACACATATGCAGCCGTATCTTCGGTAGCGGTGATTGGTAAGATGCCTACGGGAAACTCGTCCGAAATCGATTTACAAGTCACTGAGAACGGAGGCTTTTTCTTCGCAGGATTTTGACCGTTTCACTCCGTTCTTTCGCCATTTCCCCACTATACAGCGCCCTACTAGCATTTTAGGCTAAGTAGGAAACCATCGTGCCAACTGCCTTAATCAATCCCTTTTTGGGATGCGGCACGCATTCTACTTCCATTCAGAATCGTAGTGGCTTATTGAATGCGATGTGGCCTATACAATGACTTGCGGTGGCCAGCCGATGTACAAGTCAGTGTTTTATCCTCCCAGACGAATTTTGGTACCAATTCACCGCCCCAGGGGATAGAAGGCCTCGCTGGCCTAGGCAGGAGTCGATGCGGGATTTGACCCCCTGAGGGCGCGTGTGGTAGGCGTGCCACTTGTCACTACATTACCTCCGCCCATTTTCGAAGAAGAGCTAATGAAAACTAAAAATGAAATATCGATCATAAATACAATAATGAAACCCACGAACTGTTGCAGATGTCGAGCGCAAACAAAACCATCGCCGCCATTGTTACCAGGTCCACATAAAACGAGTGTCTTCCCTTAAGAAAAAAAAATATGCGATTGAGAAGAGAAGAAAGATAAAGATGAAGGATAAAGCTATTGGCCTTGACCAGCCGCTCTTCGGTACGCGCCATGCTTTCCTCTTCCATCCGGAGTCGTAGTCATCGTTTAAATGAAGATTTGGACCCACAGTGACTGGCGGGGCCACACGCATAAATCAGTTTCTACTCTACTAGATGAATCCGGCACGAAACCCACACATGCCCGACCCCTAGAAAATAAAGGGTTGTCTGGCTAGAGCGGAAGCAGATCCCATTTTTGAACGCGCCGCTTGCCACTCCACCATTTCTGCCGCCCGCTTGCCACTCCACTTTCTGCCTAGGAAGACGATAATGACACGCAGCTCGTTAGTTAAGAGTGCAAGTGGCAGTTCGCGGCGAGTACAGCAAATTCTCCACACGACTGCATGTCCTAGGATTTAATCAGAGCTTTTGTCTCGCAATGTGCGAACTGTTTTATCCTTTTCATGAGCAATGCAGCAGCGCTTTCATAACATAACTTTCAGTCGTGCCGCAACGCGCCCGCACGCGGCAGCAGCTGCAAACCACATCGTTCACCACTACGAGTAGCGAAGCAAGCGCCACACTTCACGAAGTTTTTCGAGAAATTCCGCCTTAGCCTCCGCGCTCACATTTACGACACTGAGGATACGGAGATTGCAGATTTTACTATTTGAAAATCGGACCACCCACAGGGTCCAGATTAGCTATTAAAGGCACTACCTACCCTTTGCTGCCCAGTTCTCGAAATGTAGACCAGGTTCAAATTGGAATTTTTCCATAGACATAGATCTAGCTATAACTTGGCCTCTAGGGCCCGTTTTACTACCACAACACGAGAACACGAGTATACCACCCGCTTGGCGTGACGAAAAACGCCTCTAGTCATTAAATTTGGTGGAAACCCGTTGCCAAGGAACACTTGACGCCGTGATCACAATTATCACTTCCGTTTCACGCGCAAAAAGCATGGCACGTGCATCACGAGCGCTGACGTTAGAACTCGTTCTCAAGAAAGCACGTGGCGCGGCCCCTTTTCATTTTCGAACCAAGCGGATGTGATATTCTAATACACAAGGGAAGATTACCTTTGGACCGAGAATTTGGCCTGGACTTTGGACCGGAGCAAACTTTCGATTAGAACTTGCCCAAAATTCAATTAACTTTTTGGCGGCAATAACAAAGGCAACAGAATAAGGAAAAATAGAATTCACGCAAACAGAGGCTTATGAAGGAAACGATGAAAGGTGGTTCGCTTCGCCCCCCTTCTAGATGAACCGCAAGTTGTGTCGTGCTGATTGATTCCTGATTCTCCAATTCTCAGATTTTCCAGCTTTCCGAACCCTATAGTCCTCCGATTCTAGATTGTCGCAAGCTGTGAACGCACTTTCAAGGGCTGTTCTATTTTTTCTTATTAGCTGCTCTCTACTGTCCCAAAAGTGAATTGAATTTTGGGCAAGTTCTAATCGAAAGCTTGTTCCGGTCCGAAAATCAGGCCAAATTCTTCCCCACAGAAAAAACCCGAGCATGCTACAAGTTCCCCCTTTTCCGTTATCTTCACCGTTTCTGTTCAAAGCGGTCTGTCTATATGTCGTACTTTGCGAAACCTTCCCTACAACGATCTCGCAGACAGTAAAAGTTCTGTAACTCGTTCCCTCGTCATACCAACCAGTTTCTCGTACGTTCTCTGAACTCAGTGTGTTCACAGGAAAAACCACTCTAGGGAATTTTCTGGACTGCATCGCTGATGACGTCAGTTCTGTTGAGCCGTAGTTAATATTCAGGGAAGCACGCAAAGCAAAATGCCATCTAATACAAAAAACGGCCAAAAACTGGTTTTTACCTCTTCTCTTTATTGTCTATACATGACAATATTTCCGATTTTTCAATAGACATCTCTGAAAACAATACCTACCTTTGGAATACTGAGCATGAATAGCCTTCGCGCATGCTAACCCAGCCAGCTCCATTAGCTGCTCGACTTTGAAACCATATTTCGAAAAGAGTTCCTCGTCGATTTTCGACGCTTCATCTTGCCTGTAACGGCTAGTTCTGTTAAGTGGTTACTATTACATGGTTATAATAACGAATTCTAATGCGCAAAAAAATTATTTTGACCGATGATCACCACGATCATCTTCCTACTAATGCCCGTCGACGGCAACTATTCGTCATAGAACGCTGCACCCTGGTCATCGACCATCATCACTTTCACTCTAATAGGATTGAATTCACCATTCATATCGTTGTGTCATCGCAGGAAAAAGCGTTTTGAGACTACATTTCCATGCTATTTTGGCTACGCAGACGTCAGTCAAAATCAGAGCTCAGTTCCAAGACAAAACTGAAAACTAAGAGGACTGGTGACGTGTTTGAAGCGGAAAGCATGACGATCGAAGGCCGCCCAGTTTGTCCTCCAGGCGATGGAATCATCTTAGTGGCATTGAACTTTTTCCAGGGAAAGAAACCCCGTATCTTGCCCACACGTTGGGGCGAAGGTGGTGGGTCTGTCTATTCAGTCGCTGCGGGTCGTATTTGGCCGCTGAGGAGGTCGTATTTGATCTTTGGGGAGGGGGGATCGTATTTGGTCGCGAGGGTAGGGGGTCTATTGAGATTTGAAATTCTCAAGAGAGATATTGGCTTGTTTCATAGACGCTATAAGAGGGAGTGGGGTCATTTCATTTCATTTCTCTGTTGGGTGGAGGGGGCTTCTGAGAGAAATTTTCGGCGCTAGAAAAAATTTTTCCCGGTTGCTGCCCCCCTCGCTACAGCAAAATTTTGGAAAAAAAGTAGAAAGAAAATCTGGAAAAAGTGGTGGCAAGTTGGAAAAATCTAAGAAAGTGGTAGGTGGAATGGGGAAAGGAGAGGGAGGGTGGTCGTTCTTTGCTCGCGGTTCAGAGGAGGGAATTAGAGAGCTTGTACCAAGCCCACCCGCTAGGGAGTGGTCGTACGGACTCGACCAAAATCCCCAATCAATGGTATGCCCTGTCGGGAAAGCACATCTCGCGACAGGAGATGGACAAGACAATCGTTGCGTGCGGCGTTGCGCGGAAAATCCTGGATGTGCATCAGTTCGTCGATTGTAACAGTGAGACTCGAGTAAATCCAAGAGGAGGCAAAACTTATACCAATTCATGTGGATCTTCTAGGCTGCTTTGACGTTAAAAATCAAACGACCTTGGAATGCGCAAGATAACTCGTCTCGCAGGTGGGCGCGGCGCCGATCGCCACGCCCACCTGCGCGGCAAACTGCGACTGTCTTGTTACCTACCCACTCGCGACTACCTCACAGCTGGAGTCCCTTCTGCGTCTGGAATGGGCAATTGTGCAGCACAGAGCTACCGCTTCTGCCACTCGACGAAACAAGGAAGCCAAGGAATTGTAACTGTTCAATGTCATCGATGTCACCGCTCATTAGCCATCCAAGCACCTTGCCTGTCTGCGCCCTCTCAGAGAACGTTCGAAACTTCCCGAAGAATAATCTCGGTATTTCACTGAAGAGGAGTCGGATTGAGACAGGAGGACGCTGTATAATGTAGTAATAGAGCAAAATCCCCTCAGAATGCATTTCAAAAGGCATGACATTCGTTAAGAACCTTATCGTCGTCTGCCACGGTCCCTTCTGCAATTGTAAAGCGGCGCTTATAACCCCAGGATGGGTGGGGGATACTACAGGTCATTTTGTGCAATAGTCGGAATGGGTATGTGACGAGAGAAGCGTAATTCACCGCGCTGGTGGGTGTCGCGTGCGACGTCGCGCCCGCAAATGACGATGGTTCCAGGTAGTAGATGGCGACAACAGGCAATTCAGAACCGAAAATAGTCATGAATGTCTACGATGACGGGTCTACATGAAGTCCGGTGCTCCAATCGACAGGTTAACACGAGTTAAAAAAAACGCCGCGCCTTACGCAGCACGCGGCGGAGCGGCAAATTACGATTCTCGTGCCCGTCTCCGGAATAGCGTCCAAATAGAAACGATTCTCTTAGCCCGTCTTTCCCAGTCGGAATCACGTTCAAACAGATCATACGAGTACCGGTCCTAGACACAACTATCACCCCTCAAATTAGTTCGCCGGCCCCGAGGCTACCCCACACTTTTCAGGCATAGACAAAAATACTTTATCTCCCGTTGCGGGAATTCTACTTGCACTCGGCCCTTAATGCCACCGAAGTTAGTAGTCCCTTTTCTAGATACTCTTTGCGGGTTTGATGCTGCCGTCTCCTTGTTATAGAAAGACTAAAAATAAATGTTGGCAGATGAGCAGGGATCTGCGCTATAGGTGACCGACGCAAACATTCTTGGCAGCGCGCTCTCTCCTCGAAATGGAAAAAGTAGAAGAAAGAAAATATTTCTTATATGCTGTTGCGTAAACTTGCAACGAGGTCGGAGAGAGCAGCTTCTAGAGTTGGACGTCGGCGGAAGACAAAAAGCTCAAAACAGTAGTAATTCTATGGACGCCATGCAGTATTCCTCCGTGCCCCTTCATAAGAAAGGATGAAGTTACTCAGTCGTTTGCATCAATCCTTCTAGGGTGCGGCACATTCTCCTTGCATCCAGAATCATAGTGACGTGTTGAGCATACGAATGGCGGAAGGGTGGGTAGGGGGGGGGAGGGAACGGGACAGGTAATGTAGAAGTCAGCGTTTTTGTCCTCACGGACGAATCTGATACCAGTCTACTGCCATCGGAGAATAGAAGGCTTCGTTAGCCTGGGCACGAGCCTACACAAGATTTTGACCCCGGACTACGTCCGTGATAAATAACTTGATATCTTGCAGCTACGTCATCGCCGCCTCTACCCCTCCCCATATTCCTCAGAAATCCTCACGAATCAGGGCACAGTTGCAGTGATAATTCACAGCGCAAAGAACTCGCTGACTTAATTTCACAGCAATAAGGAGTTCGAGCAGTTAGCCACGCATGTTGACAGCGATCCCAGCCACCCTACATTCCAAAACCCAATTTTATAGAAATGATTTTTCAAACGAGTAATGAGGGTAATCATCAATTTCAAGAACCTACGATTTTAACGCGCTAGACCCCCTCCGCCTAACCCTGACCAACTTTTTCAGGTGTCTGGAGTGCTCTTTTAATCTGAAGATCTGTTCGCTTAGCTCCGTCCGCGCAGGCCAACCGCTGACTTCTTGCGTACCTTAGCTTGCCCTTTCCCAGTCTCTGGAGTGCCCTGGAACTGAACTACAATTTTTTGGAATGAGCATCCAACGCTTGAGGGCAAACTCTGCCCTTTCTCAACACACTACAGACATGCCCAACTTTCGCCACTTTCTATTCACCATCGACTTTTCGCGATCACTAAACTAACCGATTTATTGAATTCTGTGCAAGATTCCACCTTTCCCCATCCCTGGGCTGCCCTCGAAACGAATTATGAATTTTTGTCTGTGGCGGAGCCAAATTTCGGTGCATGCACCGCCCACTGTGGGCGGGGCTTAGCATAGGTCAGTGTGCTCTACAGATCTTGTCCCATGCCCTACCCATCCCCACCTTGACCCGACCTCTCCAAGTCGTTCTTCAGGTCGAACCGAATTTCCGGACAGACAGAAAAACAAACAAGCAAAGAAACAAGGAAATAAACAAACAGGCGGAGCAAATTACTTATAATGGGCGGTTACTTGACCCATGAAGAAATCATTACGGAACGTATTTCACTTGTACGACATCACAACGAACGACCAAGTGCCTTGATTGTTCTCCGGGCTATTCGGGATTCTTGTCCTCTGTTTACACAAAAGTAAACGGAACTTTTCAGCCGACACTAAATTTACAACGGTCAGGCTGCTATTAACTACTTGAACATCACGCTTTTTCTCATACACAGAGCTTCAAACCTTGTACACCTATTCCTTTTCAACTGCTTAACAATCCTTCCTATACCTGTACAGTAGAGAAATGCAAACAAAAACAATAAAGTACAACAAAAAGTATGAATATAACGGCCATCATAAAGGAGATATTCCTTCTGCAAGTTTACTAAGTTCTAAAAAGTAAGTAACTCTCAGTTTCGTACCTCCCCTACATACCAGTTTGGGGGTCACCAGGTCGTATCATCCTATAGGCTTTGTTAACTGCACATATGTGAATGGTGTATTGGCAATTCTCAGAAAGACTCCTCCTAGGCTACCAAACCTTCTACCTTCCGAGGAAGGTGAGCAGCTGCCAGGTTTGTCTAGGAGTATAAAAACACTGACTTGTACACAGGCCAGCCCCCTCACGTCATTGTGTAGGCAACATCGCGTCCAAAGATTTTGAATGGAAGCATGATGCGTGACGCATCCCAAAAAGGGGCTAGCGAAGACTTTATCTTTTTATCTATCTTGACAGCGTCCCTTCTGCACGCTGAAGCTCCTCTGCCTTCTCAGGACGTACCCATACCTCTGCAGTCATCACTCCCGAGTTTTTGAGTGGGCACGGGCTCCCCGCATATGTCAT